GTCAAATTGGAGTCAAATCCCAGAAATTTGGCTCTTTTGGATTGCGTCTGGCCCGCAGAATTTCTATTTCATTTGGCTCTCTGGCTCTTTTTTGGCTCCAAACTCCAAATGTTCAAGAAGAAGGAGAAAGAGCAGGCAAGGGGAAAAAAAAGAAAAAGGTAGAATACAACTTTTAAAAAATTAAAGTGAAGAAAGGAGCTTGGATTGCTTAAAATTATTAATTTTTAAACTAGTTAACACGATTTAACGCCCTCGCCCATTTATTGGTCTGAATTATTTACTTACAACCCTTCAACCGTCGTGCAAGTGCATAGATAGTCTCGTGCTCGTGTCTTGTTACGTGTCGAAAGGGGCCAGCCATCGTTAAGTGTGTAAACAACGAGTGGTGTGGCCGGTCCCATATCCCTCTCAGTGTCAGTAGTGAGCCTTTTTTTTTACTGGAGAGGCAAAAAATGTTTTTACATTGTTATTATTATTATAATTATTCGTTCCCAACCACATGCGGTAAGCCACCAAGGGCCCAGGTGATTTTATCGCCTGCAAGAGGTCAGGGGGAGTCTTCGTCTCATGCCCACACCGGGGATCTCCGGGCGTATTTACGGCAATTTTAGCGCGCTTTTTTGTCTTTGCATTTACTTACTGTGTTTCAGTTTCGAGCATCAGCGTTCTTACTGTTCTGAGCATCAACGATTTAAGCGATCTTCTATCACCAGAGCATGGCTGACGCGCTGCAGTTAGCTGCAAGTGTGAAATTTTATTGTGCGAAACACATCGTCCCATGCAGTATCTCCTAAGATCGTGTAGTGTGTAGTGTAGTAAACAATCTTTGGTAACTCCACGGCCATAAAAATAGTCTGCAGTTGTCCCAGGAAGTGATGACATCACATTACTAAAATTAGCAGCCAATCCGAAAGATGCGTTGTTCTACGTTTAACGGCATGTGGCATGCCTCCCTGCATTTCACAATGATTTGATGTTTTGGCAATTAGGATTGATAATATATTGAAAACAATTGATTTGCAAGGGTTTTAGTGGCCATACACGTGTGTTCTACGGCAATAATTAGGGCAGTTTAGCCCCCAAATCAATGCTTCTTTGTGTGGGTGCAAAAGTAAAAATTAACATTACTTAGGCCTATTATAGATGTAAAAGGAGGGATAATCCGGATTTGGCCCCAACCTATACGTTCTTATACTACATGCCACACAGCCGACTACAAGAGCCTTCATATGGGTGCATCTGTATTCTGTGTGTGGGTGTAAAAGTAAAAATTT